TCCAAGTCCTTGAGGAAACCCAGTCACAGATGATGCTTTTGGGAAGGAGGTGCATTTACCTGAACACATTCCTCTTTGGCAGAACAGAACTTTTTAGAGATTAACCCCTGCAGTGTAGCGGTACCGTAGACTTTGAAGCTCCATGAAGGAAGGAATGACGGTTCTTGGGGGGTCTTGCGAAGGCTCCTGTTGCCTCGGTTTGACTTTGTGATGTCATCCTTAGCCCCTGAAAAGTACTTTTCTAGGGCTGCAGAGACGGCTCAGCAGTTACGAATACTGGCTGCTCTTTTGAGGACCCCTGGTTTGGTTCCCAGCACCCACAAGACAGCTAGCTCACTGCCATCTGCAGCTGCAGTTCAGTTCTGATGCCCTCTTCTGACCTCCCAGGCCCCCGGGCACACATGAGCTGCACAGACTTACATCAGGCAAACACTCACCAGAAAAAAAAAAAAAAGAAAATCGTAAGAAAAGACAAATATTTTGATGCCCATGTTTTACAGATCTTGCAAATGGTACCTGGTTTGGTTAGATGATGCCGGCAAATGCTTATATGGTCAGAGATCTCTAAAAACATTTGGTCCTGGGAAGCTGGAAAGCTCAAGGTGTCTCCTGGCTAGAATTTTCTCACCAACAACAATTCTGTGGGTGGTCTTCCTGGAAGTGTTAGATTTACTTTTCTTTTTTGAGGAAATGTTGACCCCTACCCAAGTCTGACTAATCAGTTTGTTCTGTTTCACAGAATTTTAAAGAGAAGAGTTCTCCAAGGGCCAGGACTTAGTACGTTTAATAACTGTTATGGTTTCATTGAGGGTATTTTCTAAGTGAAACTGCCATGAAAATTTTTAAAAATATGAGTTAGTAGCAGAAAGTAGTGAAAAGATTATTAGCATGTTTGGTGCTGTGGCCTGGCACCCTGCTAAGAGGGCCACACTTCTGCTGCCATTGTGTATAGACCATTAGTGCAAGTGTCAGCACAGACAGATGCAGCAACTGCCATGGTGTTATCGCATGGTGATTGGCCCTCAGGACACCTTGCCACACTTGGGAATGAGTATCATGAGTATTGTCTTAGTCAGTGTGGCCCCCAGGACACCTTGCCACACGTTGGGAATGAGTATCGTGTGTATTGTCTTAGTCAGTGTGGCCCCCAGGACACCTTGCCACACGTTGGGAATGAGTATCGTGTGTATTGTCTTAGTCAGTGTGGCCCCCAGGACACCTTGCCACACGTTGGGAATGAGTATCATAAGTAGTCTTAGTCTGTGTTCTACTGATGTGAAGAAACACCACTGACCACAGCAACTCTTGTAAAACAAACTAAAACAAAACATTTAATTGAGGTGGCTTGCTTTCAGCTTCAGAGATTTAGTCCATTATCATCTTGGTGGGAGCATTGCAGATTACAGACAGACACGGTGCTGGAGAAGGAGCTGACGGTTCTCTGAATCCACTGGCGGCAGTAAGAGAGAGACCCTGGGTTTGGCATGATCTTCTGAAACCTCAAAGCCCACCCCCAGTGACACACCTCCTTCAACAAGGTCACAACTCCTAATCCTTTCAAATAAGGCCACTCCCTGGTGACCAAGCGTTCAAGTCTATGAGCCTATGGGGGCCATTCTCATTCAAACCACCACACAATACCACAGTCTGAAGCTGTTGGGAATGTCCTGGGATTAGAAGGGTGCATGAAATGTGTGCAAGTATGCATATACAAGACATGTATGTGTATTTAGTTTTCTCTCATCTAAAGTTAATTAATTAGTTGATTTGGACACAGTGTCATTCTGTGGTTTTTGCGGCTTGGAACTTGCTATGTTGATTAGGCTGGTCTCAGACTGACAGAGATCTTCCTTGTTCTGTCTCCTGAGTGCTGGGATTAAGTGTGTGCAGCACCATGGCCTGCCTGAGCTACATTTGTGAGTTAAAGCAAACATTGACCAGCTCTGTGTTTAGTGAGATCTCATCTGTAGAGAGCCGACACTCTAGCTCTGTGTGAAGAGAGCCTGCCCACGTTGACAGCTTCTGAGAGCCAAGGGGGGTTGTTTGATCTTTTGTAGACTGTGAATTATTTCTGCTTCTATTCCAAACCATAGGTGCTTATAGTAATATTAATCCACTATTTTTTGTGTGAATGTGCATGGTTATACACTCGTGTGCATGCATTTCACCTTACTTTTTGAGACAGGGTCTCTCACTGAACCTGGGCCGGCTGACCAGCCGCCACCCAGGGTGCCCTGTGGGATTTGAAGTTCATGATGCTGTGCTTGGCTTTAGTGTGGTCACAGGGGATCAGAACCAAGTCCTCATGCTTGCGTGATGTCCTTGTTAGTTCTTTTGGTTAATTTGACACAAGTTAGAGTCATTTAGGAAGAGGGGACCTTAACTGAGAAAATGCTACTACCAGACTGGCCTGTACGGTTGAAGGTTAAGGTGGGTGAAGCCCGTGGAGGGTTGTGAGTTGTGTAAGAAAGCAGGCTGAGCAGAGAGAGTGAGGAACATACCAGAATACATCCTCAGTGGTCCTTGTATCAGCTCCTGCTCCAGGTTTCTGCCTTGAGTCCCTGCCTTGACTTTGTGTGGTGATGAACTGTGGTGTGGAATTGTAAGCCAAATAACCATTTCCTCAGGTCACTTGGTTGAGGTGTTCATCACAGCAGTAGAACTCTAACTCTGGACACATGGCAAGAACTTCACCCACCTAATGAGCGGATTACCAATACGGAGTCAGGTGAAGATATTAGGGTATTTATTAGGGAGATGCCTTAGTTATGGAGCAAACTAGCCAGCGAGCAGGGAACGAAGTAAGTAGAGCAAGCCAAGGGAAGAAAGAAGGGACCCCATGTGCTCGCCCCTCACTCTTAAACCTCCCTCAAGTCACCCTAGTGGGCGTGGTCAGGTACACCTGTAGGCAGCCCCGAGGAGGCATGGTTATGGTGCCCCCTACACCCACCCAGCCATTTCTCCTCTGACTTAAGTATTCTTTTAAAGAGAGAAGTATTTTGGGCAGTGGTTGTAAGTATAGGCTCATGATTTCACCTGTTTGACTACTGAATTTTTCTCAATATTGAATATTTTATAGAGTGTTTCCGCTCAGATGTTTGTTGTACTTATTGGGATGTTTGACATCTTATTTCCAGGCGATGCGATGGGTAGGGAGTCCAGAAGGACAGGGAAGTATTGCTGTCTTCAGCAGAATTGGTTTTATTTGTTGCATATGAAGTGAGAACAACGGACAGTCAGATTTAGCATCCTGGGTCATCCTCAGTGTGGTTACATGTGGTACAGTTTTGTACAAGATAGAGGAAGCTGGTTTCTTCTGCAGTTTGGAAGCCTGGGTACAGCCTGGGATGGAAGTGCCACAGTGCCTAAAGCTCCTGCTTTGTCCCCTCTGCCTCCCACATCACTGTCTTTCCTGGCAGCAGGAAGGGACCCAGAAGAGGACAGGGAGAGACTGTTTGCTGATACCTCTCAGTGGATTTCAGGGAAGCAACAGCATGCCTTATGTCCCTATTCCGTTGGTCAGACCTCAGTCCCCACCTACAGGGAATGATACAGTCTCCCGGCTGGCGCATGTCAGGGGAAAGTCAGGGACATTTTTGATAAGGGGGAATGTGAAAGGCTAGACATTGTGGCATTTAGTTTCAGCACTCAGGAGGCAGAGGCAGGCAGATCCTCTTTAGTTCTAGGCTAGCCAGAGCTTAGAAAAATTTTATTTGGTTAGTGGCGGTGACTTGTTCTGTAGGAAACCAGAATTCCAGCTGGCAGGAGCCATGTGGCTGATTGCCACTGGCCTTTACCAGGTCCCATGCTCTTGATGGGGGTGAGAGCGTGTGGAGTTCTATAGAACTGACTCTGTAGTCTGTCTGTGGCTCTGTCTTTCTGCTTGTATTTCAGTGTACTCTGTAAGGTCTTCTGTAAGAATGTTCCACTGTGAGACAATTTTTACAGAGGGTTTTTCTGTCTTCATCAATCAGAGACAGCCACAGAGATTTGCCAGCATGCTTTGTGTGCTAGACACTCTGAAAATTCAGACACCGTGATGATCTGTGTAGTGTGCAAGCTTGCTGTGGCCACAGGAGACTCAACAGTCTGTGACTCAGTTTGTCTGTGGGACAACTTCTAGCAAGGAGTGCAGGAGCTTGTGTTTTAATCCAGGTCTGGCTCCATATCCTCTTCCCCCCAGTACAAAAGCTTTTAAACCTTGCATGGATATTTACCACAGGCAGGACACACGGGTGAGGGATCTCCATGTCCTGGTATCCAGGACTCTGTCAAATTCTCTGCAAAACCACTCAGAATGTTTTCAGGCTCTGAGGACACTGCCCTTTCAATGTGGTATTTCTAAAACCTTACAAGTCAGCCAGTGTGATGCAGGACCCGTGGCGTGTCAACAGGTGACCTGATGGGAAATCTCTTACGGGCGTTCACACTGTATGTATCATTAGAGCTTGTGCGAGAGCCACCGTGCCTTCCCATCCCCTTGTTGAGTGGAGCATGCCTGAGCTGGACGCCTCTTTTCTCACGAGCAGGCCACCAGCAGCACATACGGAATTCAGCATAAAAGCTTTCTGCTTCAAGCTGAGGTTCCTGACCCCACTGCCAATACAGATGTCCCATAATTCCCTCTCTTCAGCCTCCTCTTTAAATAAAAAAGAGTAGAAAAGGGAAAATTATATGAGTAATTACAGTATTAAATTACTAGAGGAAGCTGTTTGAAGTCATTAAAATTCTCTTTTCAGCTTTAGTTTCAGGTGGCCGTCTTCTTACAGTGAGTGTCTTACACGGGCAGGACCTGGGTTTGGATACAGCCCATTTATCAGTTGGCAGTGCCATTTAACTTCATCAAAAACATTGTATGGCCTTGATGTGACTTGGAAGTTTGCGTGATAAGCACTGCAGATGGGCAGCATGGCCCATGGTGGCTTTGCTCCCTGAGCCTATACTGTCACAAAATCAAACTGTCATTCTATCCCTAAGTGCTGCCTCTCGTTGAATTCTAGGGCGGTTTGACAAAAGTGTTATTGAAGAGAGACGCCAGTGTGCTGAAGACCTGCTCCAGTTCTCTGCCAACATTCCCGCCCTGTACAACAGCAAGCAGCTCGAAGACTTCTTCAAGGTTCGTGGTCTTGCCCCTTGGTGTGTAGGCATTCAGGTGGAAAGCCCCATCTTTTGGGGTTTTCTTATTTACTAGGAAGTAGAAGCTTCTGTTGTCTGTGGCAGAGTTTCTGCTTTTGGTATAGAAACTGGAAGTTTTCAATTCATAGGTTTTTGTTTTTTTTTCAAGACAGGGTTTCTTTGTGTAGCTTTGGCTGTCCTGGAACTCACTCTTTAGACCAGGCTGGCCTTGAACTCACAGAGATCCACCTATCTCTGTCTCCCAAGTGCTGGATTAAAGGCATGCACCACCACCACCCGGTTTGGTGTCTCTGTTCTTAAGCACTTCTCCCATTTCCTTTAATTAGCTTTCTAGAAAGAGCTAAATGACTCTGTCATGCTTGTTTGCTCCTTTCTTTAGCAGAAAACACACGCTTGTATACCTTCAGCTTTTGGGTTATATGATCACCAAGACTCATGTGTGCAGGGATATTGAATTTCCCTGATGCTGGTGGATCTAGGTGAAGGTTAATTTTTTTGACCTTATGTAGTTGACTGAAGAAGGGCATTGCAGAGTCACAACCTAGAGTCATCCATGGTGACAATGTTGTCCCTGGTAGTTTTCTTGCTTCCTTTGTCATTATTTGGGATACCAGTCTCAGACTCTAACCTGCTGCTTATGCAAGCCCAGTGTGGGGCTTCAGGGTGAAAGTTCACGTGGTGCTGAGACTGTCTTCTAATGCTTCCCAGTTCTCCTTCGGAGTGGAGTTGGGGAGGGTTCCACCCTGCTGAGATGGGGAAGGCTGATGCAGGTCAGTGATGCCACGTGGCTCAGAGATTGGTCTGGGTGTTAATGAAAGTTAGGCAGGCTTTAAGCAGCGTAGAGGACGGTGTCTGCCCATTCTGTGACTTTGATGTGGGGTTCCTGATGTAGCTGCTACCGACTTTGTTTTAGACAGCAATGAGATGTGACATTGACAGTTTGTGAAGAGTGGACAGTTTCTGAAAAGTCAAGCTGATCTTTGTCCATTTCAGACAGTAAGACTTGGTGGCAGGTGCCACCTCTCTGTCCTGCTCTCGACTTCCTTTTGTGAAAACATAGTGATTTGACACCGTTCCTGTCTAATGCAGGCATTCACAGCAATAGCTTTTCCCCTGAGGATCCAGTCTCTTCGTGTATTTTTACTTCCGTTTTTATTCACTTCAGTGTATTTCCTGACTTATCCGTAATTTCTCTGTCAACCCATTGGCTATTTAGAATTGTGGTAACGTATTGCGTGGGAATCAAGATTCACTAGACTCAGTGGGGAGAAGGCACCTACACAAGGGGCGGGCGACCGCCTCAGGTTCCAGCTCTAAGGATCCTTCCTCCCAGGCTATTCCCTGTGACCCAACCGGAAGCAAGAAGGTTATATCCCAGAGAACATCCCCTGTGTACTTGAGGGACACCTATTCTTTTGTCAGATGGACATTTTTGTGAAGAGTTCACTTGAATCTTGTCAGGTGTTGAGGAGAGAGGGTCCGAATTTTTTTTGGCGTTTGACGTACTGATTATAGTGTTGGCGCAGAAACTGCTGACAGAAGACAGAAAGGCAGTGTTAAAGCACAAAGGGTTAGTATTTTAGTGAAGTCATTGCTTAAGGGTTATATGTCTGCTTGTCTGTGGCTGGAGTGTTCATTCCATAAAGTCCCATCTCTTGTCCCTGCCGTACCACTCTGGTGACTGCCATCTGTCTGAGTGTGGAAAAAGAAGCAATAGCTTGGAGACCTGAACTTGTAAACTTAGATGCATGGCTAAAGTAGTGATCACATGGAGAGTCCGTGTTAGTCAGTTTTGAAACACACTGTAGCCCCGTAACTCCCAGCCTGCCTTAGCCTCTCAAGTGCTAGGTTTGTAGGTATGAGCACCGCACCTTGCTCAATTATTTATTTATTTGTTTGTTTATTTATTTATTTTTACTATGTCTGTTCTCAGCAGTTAGGAGCTCTTGCTGTTCTTGCAGAGGACCTGGGTTGGTTCTTAGCACCTGCATTAGGTGTGTAACGCTGCCCGTAATTCCAGTTCCAGGGGATCTTACATCCTCCGGTTCTCTAGTTATGGCACACCTGTGGCATGCATACCTAAACAGAAGATAAAATAAAATAAAATAAAATAAAAACATCTCTTTGCTAAAGATACCTGGCATTTCTTTATGGTGTGCACAGGTGGCTTTCTCATATAAATGTTTTCTCAGATCACCTGAGTTGCTATTGATATGATATCATTTGTAATTTGGTAAAATCTAAAGGCTGTCTGATGGCCCACACTAGTTAAAGCATCAGGCCCTAAGGATACTGAGAGTTGACTAGCTGCTGTTTTGCTTTTTTTTTTTTTTTTTTTTTTTTTTTTGTAGTGATTCATTTTCTTAAAATATCTGTGGCAGATTTTGAACAACGTGCATCCACATTACAGCTAGGTATGGAGGTACATACCTTTCATTCCAGCACCCAAGAGGCAGAGGCAGAGGCAGGCCTGTGAATTCTAGGCCAGCCTGGTCTACAGAGTGAGTTTCAGGCCAGCAAGGGCTAGACAGTGAGACCCTGTATAAAAAAAAAGTTACATTAAACATGGTGGTATTATTTTAAAAGTATGATTTAAGAAAAATGAACACATTATCTTTAGAGCAGCTAAGGTTTGCAGAGAGATCCTGTGGAAGTCATTTAACCCTTGAAGCCTTTCTTAGAACCACGGCAGATGCGCTTTCCTGATGTCCTGTGAAGGGTTAACCCAGGAAGTGGGTACCTTGTGAGCCTTGTTTACTGCTGATCTTTTTCAGGGTGGGATAATTAATGATGGCTCTGCGTTAATTGGCCCTGCTGAGGAGTACCCAGAGTCCCTGCCTGACACCTTCCCTGAGTGTGGTACGGAAGGTAAGAGACTTCTTTCTTCCTGTGTTCCAAAGGTTTAGCTGCAGGAGACGCGTGTCACATGGGGTTGTGCAGCAGCTGTCTCCAAGAGGTGGGCACCTCACATTTGCCCGGCGGCTTTGCTCTTTCTCCCTGCTGTATGAAATAGTGACTTGCCAGGTAGTTCCCGGCAGTTTCTCACTGATGACACAATGAGGAAGTCCGATGTCAGTAAGACGCCTGATGCACAGACATCAGCCTTGCTGTGTATGAGTGTTTCAAGTGCATGTGTGTCTGTGACCCACGTGGGAGTATTATGCTGACAGAGGCCAGAAGAGGGTGTCAGGTTCCCTGGAACTGGAGTTCTGGACAGTTGTGAGCTGGGACCTGAACCCGTAAGAACAAGTCCTCTTAACCACTGAGCCGTCTCTCCAGGGGGCTTAACTGCTTATGAACATCTTTTTCCTTTGGAAACTTGTGTGTTTTATTTGAACTACAGAGACGGTGGTGGGCATGGGAGCACAGCCCCTGGGAGCACTTCTCTCCTCTGCTTGAGGGATGCAGGTGGCCTTGCTGTTAAACTGTTAGATTTTGGATAGTGTTGTTTATTTAAAACTTTGGAGGATTAACTGGGAAGGTGCACAGTTATTTCAGTTGGATTAAGAAGCCTCTTTTACAAGGTTGGCTACGGCCTCTGTGGTGGCATGATTGCCGTCTAAGTGTGTGAAGATCTGAGTTCAGATCTGGAAAACCCCCACACAGTCAGGTGTGACAGTGTGCGTGTGCAGCCCCACTGTGAGGTGGGAGGTGGAGGCAGGAGACTCTCCAGAAGTGTGTAGGCCAGCTAGCCTGGGGTGTGCTGTGGCGAACCGGAAGTCCTGTTGCGGACAAGGTGGAGCTTTGGACTGACGCCCAAGGTTGTCCTCTGACCATAGGTGTGCTGTGTTATCTGTTTCCATGCTCACACACACAAACATGCATGACACACATACATGAGGATAAAAAAAAAAAAAACAAAAACCAAAAACTAAAACCCATGTTTATGTTTCAAGACAGTCACTTTAAATATCAACATCTTCAGTTGGTGGGGTAACTAATGACACAAGTCTGTTTTAAGATTAACCTAAACTCTGTATGGTGCGGAGTATCATGCCAAAATAGAAAGTACAACTAAAAGCAGTTTACATGTGAAGTAGAATTTTTATTCTACAAATGTCCACAAGGTGGCACCACGAGAACTCAAATCTTAAGGGCTGGGCTTCTCCATCCTGTGTCCTGGTGGAGTGGGTGCCTGTCAGCTTTTTGTTCTTAAGTGCGTGTTTCCTCACCGTAGTTCACTTTCCCTGACTAGTTAAAATTTGCCTCAGTGGGAAATCCTAAAATAAATCGGGATTTTTTCTGAAGATAAAGCCCAGTTGGACAATGACTGGTGGTGCACTTGGGAGATAGAGGAAGGAGAATCAGGAATTGCAGGCCAGACTCGCCTACGTGGTGAGTTTAAGGTTGGCGTGGGCTACAGAGTTCCTTCCTCAAAACACCAAACCAACCCAAACTCAACAAGTAAACAATAAAGGTAGGCGTGTATGTGGGCGTATCGTCGTGTGTACGTTGCTTGTAGAACAGAGGACACTCCAGGGCTCTTGAGGGTGATGCTGGATATTTGGAACTTTGTGGCAGGGTGGGCCAGATAAAAAGTTCATGATTTGTTATGGTCACCCAGGTTTTGGATTAGAAGGGACATTGGATGTTATCCAAATGCCTTTCTTTTTCAACTAGATATTGGAGTGTGGCGGGGTTTGAGAGTGTATTTGGTATAGGAATATCAGGGTGGGAACGGACAGCACTTGCTGAGCTCAGTTCCCAGAATCCGTGTTGGGTGGCGTCACAGCCTCTTGTAACCCCAGCTCTAGGGCACTCCATGCCCGACTCTGGCCTCACACACGCATGTGTAGGGTAACAGTGCTGGACCCCGGAGCCCACAGAAAGATGGCCAGTGGAACAACAGGCCCTTGAGCCAAAAGGGAGGTGGGCCAGAGCTTAGCCATGTTTCTGCTGGGCTGTACTTGGGAACAGAGCTGGCTTTTGAGGGCCCTTCTGTTCCCAGTAGAGACACCGCAGAGTCTCTGGGACTGTAGTTTCTCAAAGCTGATGCATGGGCTTCTCATTAGCCTTGTTAGTAGCTTTGGAACTGTGGAAGGCTGGTTCTTGGTTCCTAGCTGTTGCTAGCTGTCAAGTACCAGAACTGTGACTACCACAGGGCTCTGGATTTAGGGATTTTTCCTACAAGCTTATTTAGAAGGACTTCTTTCTTTTTTCTCTTTTAAAAAATGTATTTTTTTTTTGTTTGTTTGTTTGTTTGAGGCAGGGTTTCTCTGTGGCTTTGGAGGCTGTCCTGGAACTAGCTCTTGTAGACCAGGCTGGTGTTGAATTCACAGAGATCTGCCTGCCTCTGTCTCCTGAGTGCTGGGATTAAAGGCATGTGCCACAAATGCCCTGATTAAAAATGTATTCTTAACAATTCCATATATGCATACAATATACCCCCACACCCCCTCATACTTCCCCACTCTTTCTGGACCCCTATTTCTCCCCAATTAATTTCCCTCCTGCTTTTCCCTATTTAATTTAACAACCCACTGAGTTTAGTTAGGGTTTCTGATGAGTGTAGGTGTGTGGCTGTTAACCGAAGCATAGGTTTCTTTCCATGGCTACACTACTGAAGAAAAGTAACTGTTCTCCCAGTAGCCATTAACTGCCATCTGCTCCCAGCTAGGGATGGGGCCACATGAGCCTCTCCTCTAAGAAGGGCTTGTTTCTCCAGGAGTCAGATGGGATTCTGTCAGATCCTCATGCCCTCCACCTCCTGGTAATCTTGGTTCTGGGCTGGGTGATTTTTTTTTTTTTTTTTGGTGCATGAGGCAGAAGTGATTGCTGCTGGGACAAGTAGACTCCTTTGGTCGACTGTGGCAATGTTTGAACCGCAGTTGAGTGGAGGCGATGAGCTAATAGTAATGAGGCCACGTGCTTTATATATAGTCACCCATGAGCGGCCGGCCACCTGTTGTCAAAGGAGGCCGATCTCTTTGTGCGGATGGTCTTCAGATGCGGGGCTCTGATGGCTCATAGTATAAAGCTCCCGCGAACAGCAGCTCAACCTTTTCCCCAGGCCCGCCTTTCAGAGATGGTGTCCCAGGCAGATTCTGCTCTACTGCCTGACTGCACAGTTCAAAGCCCAGAGGTGAGGGCAGGCTGGTGGACTGGGATGCTGAACACACCCTCGTGTCTGTAGCTGCTTTTTTAACAAGTCACCTGGGGCCCTCTAATAGCACCGAGACTGGGATCTCTGTGATCCACACCCGGGGGCAGGAGACTTTCATGGAACCTTTGGCTTCCCCTTGTATCACTTCCAAAAGGGTTTTGAGTGATGGTGCCGTGGAAGGGTGCGCATGTCCTAAGAGTCCCTGTGAGGATGGGTTGGCTGTAGGTTGGCTTAACTTTGACAGACAGTCTGTATGTTGTATGGAGTACCCGTGCTGCCCTGCTCCCCCACCCCCTGCCCTTCCTCCTCAGCGAGACCACAGCCTGTAGTGCTCCTCGCTCCCTTTCTGGGTTGCAGTCTCCACTTCATGTGATGCTCAGATGCACTAGGACCATAGCGAGTAGCAGCTGTCCTCTGGTAAATAAAGGAGGCATTGACTTTCATGTATACACTTGTGTTTTTCACACATCATATTTACATACTCTATGTGTGCGCACATACACATGCATTTTCCTTCCTGTCTGTACAGCACACGTGTGCAGATTTACATGTGGGTATTTACTGTTCATGTCTCTTCGTACATCTGTATGTGTGCACTTATGTGCGTAATTAGGATTACATTTGCTGATCAAATAAAGTTGCAAAAGCAGGAGGAAGTGAAACTATGTTCTTAGACTTTTGTGAAACCGAGTGTACATAATCACCTGCCTGCCTTCTGGCCCTGCTGTGAGAGGGAAGTCGGGTGCAGCGGGACAGCCGTGAGAGGGGCGTGGAGGTCCCAGCGAGGAGGCTGTGCTGTAGACAGGGCACTGTTCAACTTGAGAGCCATTGGAGAGCACACCAACATTCCCAGCCCTTCCCTTTTAATTATCTGGACGTGTAGAACTTTCCTCTAGCCGAATTGTTTGTCAATTTCAAACCAGCTGTCAGATAGCAGCAGCACTTAAGGAAATAAGTTCGCATTGACACTCAAAGTATTTTAAAATTACTGACAAAGTTAATCTAGTTTTTAGAAAAGTGGGTGAATAACTTGGATGTTGCAGGAAGATTTGACTATAAAATGCTATCTACCAGATGCTGTCTGCGTGGCCAGAATGCTCCCCATGTCCAGTGATATCCATTTGAAGCTGTGGGGTTAATGAATTCGGTTCCTTTTTGGAAACAAGGACCCTAAGAATTTGAAAGAAAAAAATAAACAAATGAAAACAATGCTGTATGGATGAGGTGCCAAAGTCACGTATAAAGCTGATTTGAACATGGAGCTTAGCTGCTGGTCGCGTGTTCTTACTTTTACTTTCTTTGCTAGGAAGTGAGCAATTTGAGGCTACCACAGGCTGACAACCTGGCCCCCAGCTGTTTTCCTATAGCCTGTGAACCAAGAATGTTCTTTTGCATTTTTAAATGGCTGAAAAACCACAAAGAAAATTGTTTTTTGATGTGGCATTACATGCAATTAAAGTTTTAGTGTCTACAGCTAAAATGAGCCATGCTCACCTGTCCAGGCCAGTCTGCATGGCATCAGGTGGCTACAGCAGACCATGCAGCTGCAGGGCCTGAAGTATTTACTGTCTGGCTCTTTATTGACAAGGAAGTTGCTGACCCCTTATCTTAGAATTCTATAGTCCGATTCACCTGCAGTTTTCATTCTTAGCGTTGCCTCCTGTGGAAATAACTTCTTTTGGAAATGTCTTTTTCTGAAAACTTGACATTTCATAGTCAGTGGCGGTGCTGGTCCAGGGATGTGTAGTTCAGTCGTGTGCAATGTGGTAGGCTTGATCCACAGAATCATCAAAAAAAACCCAAACCCTGCCAACTGAAAGCCAGCAGACGGCAGTGTAGACCTCCTTCTGTGCCTGACGTGCTCCAGGCAGTGTGATCGTGAGTCTTGACTCCTAGAATCTGCGGCTCCATGAAAGTTGAGACCTGTATGTGTTCCTGAGGCCTCCAAGGGTCCACAAGGCCAAAACCTTTTTAAAAATGCAGTCACCTCTGCACTGAATGTCACACACAAAACCAGTGAGGGTCGAACTGTTGGAGACGCTGACACTGAACTAAGGTTTCCATCACTCATGGGAAAGCAGCATGCAGCAGAGGGGAGGGAGGCGGGTGTGAGCAGAGGGAGGCCATTTTGCTTATGTCAGTGGATAAACAGGAGTCATTACACTGTGTGTTTGGTACATTTTTTTTATCTTGAAATGAATGATCTGACTTTTCAAAGAAAAGAGCTCGTAGCATTTGTTTCCAGTTAAAGTTTTCCTCCCCAAGTTAGGATTTTTTTTGTGTGTCACTTTTGTCTGCCGCTTTGATTGTGACATTTCCCAGTGTGATTTTTATGCCATAATAATGAAATGGGAGTTTTTATCCTTGGGAGAATTGTGGCACTCAGGGAACTGACATGTTAAAAATAATTGATTTGTTAGGCTGTAAACAGCATAGATAAAAGATTATTCAAGACAGACCACTGGGTTTAAATGCAGTCAGCCCTACAAATTTCATTGTTGAGATTTTATGTATTCCACATTGCAGCCCTCTTTAAGAGCACTGTAGAGTTTTGTAGTAAGACAAAATGACTCAGCAGGTAAAGGTGTTTGCTGCCTGTCAACTTGAGTTCGGACCCCAGGTCCGACATGGTGGAAGGAAAGAACTAACTTCACAGTGCTCCCTGACCTCCACACACGCTCCTCCCCACCTCCAAGTGATAACTCAGGGGGACACAGTAAACACAGTTGTCTTACAACACTTTCCCTTTTATCCACATCTTCCAACCACAACTGTGTGATGACAGACAGGGCCAGGGCCAGGGAGTCCTCATGTTCTGTTTAGCCAGACACAGAGACTTGAAAAATATCAGATTGCCACTTCTCCCAATAAGTATTTTTTTCTTTTGACAAATGTAGTTATTTTTTATAAAGTACATTAATGTGTAATAATTATAGTGTTTTATTTTGAGAGATTTATTTTTATCTTATGTGTATGAGTGTTTGCCTGCATGTATGTCTGTACCATGTGTGTGCCTGCTGCCCTCAGAGGCTGCAAGAAGGTGTTGGATTCCTTAGAACCTAGGTTATAGATGGTTGGTTACAAGGTACAGTACAGCATCTGATGCCCCAAGCTGAGACAGTCTGCTAGAACCTGCCAGCCACCAGCAGGCCATGCTGCCCTGGCTGAGCAGGTTATGGGAGAGTGGGCGTATGTGTGGCTTGTGGCCCTGTGGCTACTGCTAGTCTCACGTTGACTTCTGTGCTCCTCGCTCCAGGCTTCTCCAGTGATAGCGACCTCCCGTCCCTCACTGTTGACGCAGACTCCATTGCAGAGGTGGACGATGGAATGGCTTCCCGTCAGGGTTCTCCCAGTAAAACTTTTGGTCTGAGTCTGTCTGCGGATTCTTCGGCAGCAGGGGCTGGCGCTTCTGACGGTGAACCGAGCAAAGCAGAAGACCGGGAAAGCCGGACCCTCTTCCCCAGCAGCTTAAAGCCGAGGCTGGGCAGGAGAGATTACCTGGAGAAAGCAGGGGAGCTTATCAAGCTGGCCGTGAAGAAGGAGGAGGAAGACGACTATGAAGCTGCCTCTGACTTTTACAGGAAGGGCGTCGACCTGCTCCTGGAAGGAGTGCAAGGTACGGTTTGCCCGCAGTGCGTCCTGGCACAGCTGTGTGCTGTGAGAGATGAGAACCATCGGTACCGAGTCCAACACTCTGCGTCTCCTGTGCTCAGGGCTGGAAATGACATCATCACAGGTGCTCAACACTGTGAGCAGCGTCCCCACAGGCGCTGTGTGAATGGATGGCAGTCTTCCTCCTGACTTGACCGTAGAATTCTCAGAGAGTGCTGACTTTACTCTCAGTGACTGTCACCTTCACCTAGTTAGTGCAAGTGACAGGAAGGTGTGGGTCCCAGCACAATTTAGTGTCTCTAAGTAGAACTTACCGATTTTCTCTTTTTAAGTACCAGGATTTATTTTTCATCACAGACGCAGAATAAAGTGCCCCGTAGTTAGTGAAGTGACTTCTTGGACAGGACGTAATACTCAAAGGCCAATGTGACTTTCTTCAGGGTCTAGAAAGCCATTGCTGCCTCGGTTCTGTGCTCTTTGACCTACTGATTCTCATCTACTGACACTTCCTTCAGTATTTTCTCTCAGTACACATGGTACCCTGTTATTCTAGAACCTTCTCCTGCTCTCTTTCTAGTGTGTGTGTGTTCCCACACTGCTTCCTATCAAGCGTTTTGACTGACTTTCTCCTTAGAAAACACCCTTTTTAGATTTTACTGTATGTCCATGAGTGCTTGCCTGTGTGTGTCTGTGCGAATATCACATGTGACCTTGACTCCCTGGGAGGTCAAAAGAAGTCATCAGGCCCTGGAACTGGAATTACAGACAGCTGTGAGATGTGTTGTGTGGGTGCTGGGACCTGACCCAGGATCCTCTGGAAGAACAAATTGTGCCCGCAGAAGCAACAGACCCTCTGGAGCTGAAGTTACAGTTGGTTGTGAGCCACCTGCAAGAGCAGTATCGCTGTTCACTGCTGAGCCGTTTCTCCAGCCCCCATCTCCAGACTTTGTGTTGGGCCGTGGAAGTATGTGTGTATGTTTGCTAACTGTTGCTGATGGAGCATTCTGACCTCGTCTCCTCTTTTACAAAAAGGGGTCATGAGATGCTCTTTTCTCATCCATTTCCTTCCTAGTTTCTAAGATTTTGTTGCTCTTCTTATTTCTCTTAGCCTCTGCTCTCGAAGGGCTTTGCCCCAGGCCACTGTTTCTGCTGTCGTGCTAGTGCCCCAAGCCACTGTTTCTGCTGTCATGCTAGTGGTGTCTCAGGAGTGCAGAGATGAGTATGTACCACTGTCATCCTTGCCTGGAGGTTCAGGTTGCCAGTGTCAGCCTGTTTCAGAAGCTGGGGTCCCAGAGCTGTCAACATCTATATACTTGGAAACAAAAGGAGTGGACTCTTTCCATCTTGGCTAGTGGCTGTCATCTTGCTGATGTTGCTGGATGCAGTCATTTGATTGTATCATTTGATTGTGACATGGCGTTTCAATAGCTGATTCTATCTGTGAAACTTCAGCTTTTAAAATTTTATTTTAGCTGAAAGTTCTAACATTTCAAATTGAGAAACTAACTCTGAAGTCATTTGTTTTCATCTTTTGATTGGTGGATGATTTTGGACCCAATTTGATTTTTTAAGGCCTTTCATAGTCTGCTGGGGTTTGTGTGTGGAGTATTCTGTCTAAAGGGCTCTTCATTTCTGTTCCTTTCCCTAACTGTCATCTAGAGTTGGGGTTGACAGTGGCATCGATTGAGTTGCGTCTTTCTTCTCTGATGGTTCTCCATTTTTTCCAAACATAACCAGCTTGCAAAAACATCACAGGTATTTAATTGGCATGGGTGAGCCATATCATTGTGACATCCTTCTGTCTAAAAGTTATTAGGGACACTTCATAATGTTGCCACTTGATGGCACCAGAAAAATAAAAATAGTTGCTTCACGATGAGACGTGTAAGTGCAGATCAGCAAGCAACAGAGACTCACTCAGCTGGTTATTTACTCTGCATTGAACTCGCTACCAAGCCCACTGAGGTCTGTCCAAAGTCCAGCTACCTGTTTAATCTCTTTCTGTCTTTCTGTGCAATGTCTGTCTCAAACCACAGAGTCCCGTCTGCTCCTGATAGCATTTCATTGTTAATACGCCATCCAGAAAGAGAGCAGTTGGCCTGTAGTGTTTTATTGTTTACCCACCTCAAAATGGCTTTGTTTAGACAAACTATGAGACCCTCAGTTACCAAATTCTAGTTTTTTTCACTCAGCTTCCAGCTATGGGACTCTGATTCTTTATAAGGAACATGTTTCTGTCCGTGCAGTTTTGCACGTGACAATGTGTAAAGTGTGGCTTCAGAGCAGGGAGCACAGTCTGAGGACTCTGCAGAGTGAGCACAGTCTGAGGACTCTGCAGCGGGAGCACAGTCTGAGGACTCTGCAGAGGGAGCACAGTCTAAGGACTCTGTGGCAGCACAGTCCTCATCACCCTGTGGATCTGTGAGTGTTGTCCTTGGGCCTCTGGCTTGTTCTTGGTTTGACATTCATGCTCAGAAAAGACCCATCCTTGGGGAAAGTTTATTCTGGTGTGACAGAACTGTCACTGAACTGTCCTGGGAGTCAGTGAGACCTACAAATAAAGACCTGAGGCTCAGCTCTTTCTAGGCAGTTGTTCTCATGACTGGTGTGGGACTGTGGGCTTTAAAGGTTGTAAAGTGCCGCTGCTTTTCTTACTAACTAGCATTTCATAGCAGAGACTAATGTAAGCATAGTGGCACAGACCTGCCCAAGAGCAAGAGCATCCTGCTGGGGGGTGGGGTTTGCCTTCTGTGACCTCAATTTTACTAGAGATGGTTCTCAAAAGGAAGGAAATGCCGTTTTCTAGACTCTCAGGTTGCCATGGATTTAAAAGAGAGAGTCTGAAAGTCAAGGTTGTAGGAATGGACTTGGACCTTTGTAGAGAATGGGTGGTCCATTCCACACTGTCCTTCCATGTTCCGTGTCCTCAGAGTGGACTTGTGGGGAGAGTTAGTATAAACAGCATGGCAAACGGATGGCGAAAGGACTAATGAATTGTTTAAGTAGTGGCAGAGGTGGCGGCGGCCGCAGCGGGCACAGGCTGCCATGTATTAAATGCCCATCTCAGCACCAGCGTTTTTCTTCTGTTATTTTTAATTTTCAGGAAAGCCAAAGCTGAATTCTAGCTGGTCGTACTGGGCATTGTCTGGGGACCCTGAAATTTAGAGGGTGCAAATAGTTGATACAATGACCTAAAATGGTGGCACTTAATTAGTAAGAATAATGATTTAAAACTGGAATCTGCCGGATGGCAAGCATCGTTCCTGTCCCACGTGTGGTTCCCCTGGGAATCAAAAGGCTGAGCTTGCTGCCTTTGGCTGGAGTGTCTTGATTGCCGCAGTGGCATGCTTACTTCCCCTCAGGTCACTTCAAGCCTCACTTTGCGGTGAGCAGGCCGAGGCCCCAGTGGAGCTGTGCTGCTGTTGGTCAGGGGTGGTGGTGTTGAGCTGGGGTGGTGTTGAGCTGGGGGGGTGGTGTTGAGCTGGGGGGGTGTTGAGCAGGGTGGTGGTGTTGAGCTGGGGGGGTGGTGTTGAGCTGGGGGGGTGTTGAGAGCTGGGGGGGTGGTGTTGAGCTGGGGTGCAATCTAGGCTTTTCCACATACAAACCTGTTTCCTGGCACCCCTCACCCAGTTCTCTTGATCGCACGAGCCTTGTGACACGGAGACACACGTATTCAGTTGTGCACTGGATTTTGCACATTGCTCCCTTCCTGTCTCTTGTTCTACGAGCTTCTGTCCGTCCAGGTGATCATCCCGCAAGCATTGTTTACATGTATGTACCACGTCCATACCATGCAGAGACAGTGAACTGAGTCATGTTTGTGATGGCTCTTCCTAATGACACTCCTGTCAGCCCTGGTGGTGTGGTGCACGTCTTGTTGACGGTTTGGTGAGTTTTCTGTCCGGCCACACCTGTTTTTCAGGGACTTGGTGGCAATGCCACAGTTGTCCATTTCTCCTTCCCCTATTCCTTTTTCCTTTGACATCTCCAGTACACATAATGAAGGAGATTTATAATGAAAATTCTCCAGAGTTATTATTGAAAAGTTTTATCTTTGGAAATTCTGTTGATGCCTGTCACCACTGCAACTGGTTCCAGTGTTACGACTTAGCTTAGAGACGATGCAATTTCCTTTCTGTTGTTTTCATTCTGGCAAAAGATTTAATAGTGACACCCAGCCTTTCCCACAGTGCACACCACCCCAGTCAGACGATGAGTGTGCCCCATGCTTTGCTGTTCTGTCTTCCTGGGCTCTGCTTCTTCGTAGAAGAAACCATGGACTCATATGTACTTCTAGGGGACTGTTGAGTCACCAGGTGGGCTCTAAGTTAAGCCATGTGTCCAGTGGCTGGTTTTAGGACATGCCTGGACCTTGCTGATGGGGCTGCACTCTGTCATCCATGCTTAGAAGCTGTATGAAGCAGTTTCAGTCATTGGTTCTTCCCATGGACGAGAGTTGCTCACCTGGGGCTGGAGAGATGGCTCAGAGGTCAAGAGCACTGGCTGCTCTTATTGAGATCCTGAGTTCAATTCCCAGCAACTACCTGGTAGTTCACAACCATCTGCAATGAGATCTGGTGCCCTCTTCTGACCTGCAGGCATAACACTGTATATATAATAAATAAACAACAAAACAAACAAAAAAGAGTTGCTCACACATTTGGAAACCCTGTGGATCATCACGTTTGCTTTAAAGTGGACAGACAGACAGGCAGGAAAGTGTGGGTCTGATGGAGGGAAGCAAGGCTCTCTGTTATTATTGGATCTTAGAAATGGAAAATGCCCTTTAACCCCGAGTTACTTGTCTCCCCGCTTAGTGCTATAACATCATATTATGGACGCATTTCAAGTTCCCTTTACCCGTCGCTCACTTCAGCACAAACATTGCTGAGTGAGCATAAGGACAGCTGTGCGAAAAGCTGGTGTGTTTTTGTCCATATGTGTGCCTGTTTTGGGAAGGGGTCTGTTGTTCCCTGCTGTGAATGCTCGGGTGTTTGGCCACCT